AGGCAAAGAAAAGGTTAAGAAATGCTGATATAGAGTATACAGAAATACCATCAACACTCGCACAAGTGTAAACATACATACCCCAAAATAACAGGTGATTGAGCTGACCGATGAGGCATCAGACCAGGGCGACAGCGAGGAGGAGGGAGCAGAGGGAGGACTTGAGAGAGTGGAGGAGGATGAGATGGAGGAGGATGTTGTAGACATGGCAACTCTGACCTTTAGCAAGCACCAGGGTAGGCAGTGCTAAGATGTCTTCTTTTCATTATCATCATCATTATCTTTATTATATATTTTTTTTATGTATGTGTAAATGTGCATGTCTATACATGCTTGTGTGAGGGTATGCATGTGTGTCTAAGTGATTATGCCTATAGGAGTATTTCAATGGTGTAGATACATAATTTTTTTTTTCTTCAGTGAATATAATGCACATATGACAGAATAATACACATTATAGCATGTCATAACTGCAACAAGAGGTTTACAAATGCTTTTAAACTCATGCTTCTCCTTCAGGTTGGGTATTTACCTTTTCTACACTGTCTCAGGTTCGGTGTTTACCTGCTCAGTCTCCCCTCGCGGAGATCTTGTAGCCACAGGAGGGGAGGATGACCAGGCTTATGTGTGGGACATGACCAGTGGCAATGTTCTTTTCACTTGCGCAGGACACAAGGTAAATCAGCCTTTATTGCTTTGTTGGGCAGAGCCTTAAATATAGATGTTTACAATATTAGGTATTTTTTTCACTCCTAAAAGATGTCTTATATATGGGCACATACCTGAGGTCACAGGGCAAACTGTAACAGTATTTCCATAGAATGTTATTGTGAAGTTTTCATGTTTCATAATGTAAATTTTGATTCATGTACTAAAAATATAATTTTTATTCTTTTCTTTTTTTCAGGACAGTGTGGTCTGCGTCAAATTCAATCATGACGGATCACTCTTAGCTACAGGGGACATGAGCGGTTACATCCAGGTTTGGAAAGTGGAAGGAGCAACAAAAACATGGGATTTTGAAACCGGAGACCTTAGTGTAAGTCTGAAACGAATATATATTAGTTGATCAAGGCTTTTATCATTTTAATTTTAAAAAATTGTTGAAATGGAAAACCCACGCATCTGTTTTATTTCTTTGTTTCTTTATTTTTTATTTATTTATTTTTTTTTTCCAGTGGTTGACATGGCATCACGCATCCAATGTGTTGTTGGCAGGAACCACAGAAGGTGAGCTGTGGATGTGGCTTGTGCCCAAGGGAAACGCCCGAACCTTCCCCAGCTACGGATCAGCCTCACAATGCGGGGCTCTCC